CTTAGTTCAGATTGAGGCTCAGGTTCCGCTAACCAAAACTGGTCAACACTCCGGCGCTGAAGACAGGTCTGGTCGCTGACCTGTAGGGAGGTCTCCTGATGAGCTGATGATCCTCAGGTGTGTAGAAGGCTCCAGCTCAGGAGCCCCACAGCGCTCTCTGCTGGAGACAGGTGGCAGATCTCCAGATCCCAACTGTTTTATACTTCATCTTCATCTGCTGACAGATTATTGCACCTAAATATAAAACATTAATCTGTTAAGCTGTTTTGATATAAATTAGTTTGTCTGAATATGTGTTTCTGATATCTGAAAAACAAACAAACATGTTTGAACATTTCAAACAAAATGACATTCTTCAAATCTACAGTAAACATTCTGGATTTGTAGAAATGAATTTCACATCTACATATTCCTACTGTTACTTTTCCTTGATTCTATTATTTTGATCAGAAAGAAACATATCACTCAGGAAGTGAAGTTGTCTAAAATGAGACCACTAAATAAGTACAACAATAAAACAGGAAGTTCTACGTTCACCTACAAACAACCGCATCCCTGTCCACCCTCCACCGAATCAGACAAAAACTGGAACTACCGCACACAGACTGGAGTCAAAGAATCAACAACTTCTCTGGAAACATGAGTCAGCAACCAAATTCTCCTCTTCAAGTTCCAGAGTCAAATTTCCTACTGAGCCTGAACTAACCGCAGTGTTTTCCTCTCACTTTCCAGTTCCGGTTCGACAGTGTTCAGAGCAGCACTGGACTCTTCTCCTTATTCTAAATAAACCTGTTAATTTTTTCCCTGGTCTCTCTGTTTGGTCTTCTGCATAAGGTCAGATCTTTAGTTAAATCATGACAAGGCCTAGTAGATAATTTCCTATAAAAAGAAATTTAATATTAAAAAAAAACGTCAGTGTCCCACCATTGGGAAATTCATTCTCTGCATATAACCCATCCCCTTGGGGAGCAATGGGCGGCCATTGTCCAGTGTCCGAGGAGCAGTATGTGGTTAAGGGTTTGCTCAGGAATCCAGAATGGAGGCTGTGGGGATCGAACCGGGTACTTGCAACATCCTCAGAGCACAAGACCACTTGTAAAATTATTATCTACTAATTTATATCNTTAGTGTACTATTAGCAATAATTTGTGTTAGAAGTTTTTAGCTTCTAACACAAATTATTGCTAATAGTACACTAAAGATGATTACCGTAAATTTGTAAAATCATGAAAAGAATTCCCAATAATTAATTCTAGCAGAAGAAGCATGTACTCAGTGTTCAGTGCTATTTACAACAATTTGCAGAACAGAAAATAAAATAGAAAATCCTTTTTTTGCCCCAAAATGCGGAAATATTCTTGTGTACAGCAGCAAAAAGATTATAGAAGAAAGTTGTAACACAAATGTGGACCCCAAATTTATAAGAATATGTTGAAGCAGGTTATTGCCTTATATAGCCTCCTGCATTGTCTTATAATTCCTTAGCAACAAAGCTTAAGGTCAAGTATGAGTCTTGGTAACAACAAGGTCTCTAG